CAGAGGGAAAGTGGGTTGGGTGGTGAGCAAAAGGGGTAAAGGGGCACGTATTTATGGTGACGGATAAAAATTAGACAACTGGTCGTAAATGCTATGCAGTCTATACAAAAACTGATAAGTAATAATGTACTCCAAAAACTACACAATGTTATAAATGACTATGACCTCAATAAAATAACTGGAAAAAATGAGGCAGCCTACAGTTGAATACAAAAATGGCAAACATCATAGAAGGTAACTCATCAAAAAATATATTCTTAATATTCAATGAACAGATGAAAATGATCAACACTAACAAAGGAAACACAAATATAATCAATGAGATACCATTTTCACACATTAAATTGGCCCAGTAGTGAAAGATAAATATGAAGGAAATACATACATTCCTTCACAGTTAATAAACATATTAAACAGTGCATTTGGGAAGGTTCTTCAGCAATATGTTTATAAAAAGTCTTTAAAATTTATCTGGCCTTTCACCTACCCATTTTACTCCTAAGAATTCATCTGCTTTAATCAGAGTAGAGTGCGAATATGTGTCTATGAGTCTGCCCATTATGTTCCTAATTATAGTAATAAAAATTAGAAACCAATTAACCACCCCAAAATTGGTCTTAGATGAAGATTATGCTAGCCTCAAGGATATAAGAAATACTACAGAGAGAAAATAATTATCTCTCGTTAAGGACAGTAGTATCATTAGTTAAGGATAAGCAGATATTTACTTATATACAAAAATATCGACGATATTTTGTTATGTAAAAAGTAGGCTAAAGAGGAATGGAGACAGATAACCCTACCTTTGTATTGTGTTCATATTTATAAGCAGAAAAGTAAAAAGTATGATCAAGACTATACGATCAGCACTTTTGCCTTTTGGGCTTGTCTCTCAAAAATATTAAAACATATTTTATGACTGTGTTGGTATAAAGACAAATATATTAATTTTGCATATTAAAACATTTTTCTTTCTAAAAAGAAAACCACATTAAGATATCATTTCACACCCATTAAAATGGTCATAATCAAAAAGAAAGATAAGTGTTGGCAAGGATGTGGAGCAACTGGAACTGTCGTACCGCTGGTTGGAATACACAGTGGTACAAACACTTTGGAAAACGGTGTCAGTTCTTCAAATGGTTACAGATAGAGTTGCCATATGATTCAGCCATTCCACTTCAAGGTATATACACCAGAGAAATGAAAACATATGTCCACACAAAAACTTGTAAGTGAATGTTCATAGCAGCATCATTCCCAATAGCCAAAAAGTGGAAACAACCCAATGTCCATCAACTGATGAATAAACAAAATGTAGTACATACATACAATGGAATATTATTCAGTCATAAAAAGAAATGAAATACTAATTCATGCTACACCATGGATGAACCAGACACAAAAGGCCACATATGGTATGATTCCATTTATAAAATCTATACAATTTACATGTATGATTCCATTTATAAAATCTTTAAAAAGACAAAGTAAATTAGTGGTTGCCTATGGCTGGGGGAATAGGGAAACTGGGGAGAGGTGATACCTAGGGGGTAGAAGGGTTTCTTTTTGGGATAACGAAAAATTTTCTAGAATTAGACAGTGGTGACGGCTACAGAGCTTTAGCAATATATTAAAAGCCACAGAATTTTACACTTTAAATAGGTAAATTGTATGGTATGTGAAATATATCTTAATAGACCTCTTAAATTTTTTTTAAAAAGAATGAATGAACAAACAAAAAATTATTCAATCCATGGTGTAAGGAGTCAGGATAGAGGTCACCTTTAGGGAGGAGGGTGGGGGCTGTGATTGGGAGGGGGCAGGAAATTCTATTCTTTTCTTTTTTATTTGAGGAAGATTAGCCCTGAGCTAACATCTGCTGCCAATCCTCCTCTTTTTTGTTTTTTTTGCTGAGGAAGACTGGCCCTGAGCTAATATCGATGCCCATCTTCCTCTGTTTTATATGTGGGACGCCTACCCCAGCATGGCTTGCCAAGCAGTGCCACGTCTGCACCCAGGATCCAAACCAGCGAACCCCAGGCTGCTGAAGCGGAATGCACGCACTTAACCACTGTGATAGCGGGCCGGCCCCTATTCTTTTCTTAACTTATGTGGTGGTTACATACATTCTCTCTGTGATAATTCATTGTCTTACAGATTCATGATTTTTGAACTTATGCATGTTACACTACAATACAAAGTTTATTTAAAAGAATAACAGTATTCAAAAAGTATTCCACAGGGACTCAAAGAAGGTTTCTAAGTCAGTATGCCAAAGTTACCCTTGTACACGCTTCACTTGAACATGCTGAGCACCGACCCTGTGCCATCCTGGAGCTGCACGCTGGGTGTGCAGAGCAATCAGAAGTGGCGCTGCCTTTGAGTACCTGGGAAGATGGACAGCTACAAGGGAAGAAGCACAGGGTTGGGTGATGAGACTGCTATTTGCAGCTTGGCAACCTTGCCTGAGCTACAGTTTAAACTCCCTGGATTCTAGTTTGCTCACCTATTAAGGGATAAACTTGCAAATTTTATGATTCCTCTTATAAGAGAAGCCCAAAGGCCTCTATAGATTTGCCTGAGAGGGGACATGGGTCATATTGGCAGTGGGCTCCCTGTAGCTCAGTAATAAATTTGGATTGGGTGAACAGTTTTAAATATCCCTGGGATTTACCAGAGAGATGTTTAACTCTGGAAGTGACAGGTTAATGGGAAAATATTTGGGATCCCTTCCTTCTGTGGCCTTTAGAGAGAAGGTGTGTTCTAGCGGCACCAGGGGCAGTTTAGATATGATCTGGCTTGAACGCAAAGTGATGCCATGAAATTCTTGCAGCTGTGTGAATTTAGAGCCTAATATTATGAATAGACATCAAGGTGAGGAATCTACTTTTTTCCCAGAAGCATTTTGTTGAATATCATTTAGCACAGCGATAAAAAGTCAACTTGGTAACAGGACAGAAGAATATTAGATGCATTTCTGACTAGTGGAAGCATCTTTCCATCCTTTCCTGCCTACCTTTTCGGTACCTGATGGCAGTCTTAACCCTCCACTTTGGCCTACTTTCTACTGCTTCAATCTGCTCAAGTTGAAAAGAAGAGGATCATTTAGTTCACACAGAAGTGTAAGTGCCTGGCAACACCCAGATGTGTGTTATACTCTGGCCAGAGCACTTGCACTTTGACAGGAAAATTGCTAGTCCAAAGGACTTAAAGTATTAGCAAGCAGGGTATGAAAGTATGTTTAGACATAGGTCTTCCCAGGCATGGTCTCTGACTCACACTGAAAGGCTAAAATCAGCTGTTCCATTTCGAATCCTTCCTAAAGTTAACCATGTTTGACCAAATCACAAACGTTTATTGTCTAAAGAGTTTAATAAAAGCCCTGCTCCTCTCTGGCCAGCCTTTCTCGATCCCTCAGGTTGGCATACATGTCCTGCTCTGGGCTCCCAGAGCTCCTGCATCTTAGCACTCTCCACAGGCACTTGCTGTAACTGCCTGTTTTAAATCCACCTCAGAGGGCAGGAGGGAACATTTCCCATTTCTCCTTTTACTCCAAGGCCAGGCATATATTATGCCCACAACAACTGCTTAACTTTGGGAATGATTAAGAAGTCTGCTTTATAGTCCTTGTTCCTGGGACTCTGCCTAGAACTTTCTTTGTTTTACTCCACTCTTGCACCTGTCTGCTAATTAGACATCCTGCAGGTACCTAGTAACACCTGCCTTGGTAGTTTAACATACAAACCAAAGAGTAATGGCTTCCACTGAAACACGTGGGATTATGAGGCTAATGAGAAAGTTCATACATCTTCACCCTGGAGTGAGAACCTTCTCTATTCCATCACAAGATAACATTGCCTTGGCAGTATTTTTTAAGGAAATAATTCTTAGGAAAAATTTCTGTGGTTTACCTGCAGTCATTTGCTAAAAGATGAACATCTAGGTCGAAGAGACTGCCCACAGCATTGAGCTAATGAGCAAATATCAAGAATTTATAAATCTATAATTTATCCTGGGTTTTGGCAGCAACATTCCCATGGATTATTAATAGGGCAACAAAGTTCACACCCTGTGAAAAAAACCGATCATACAGACATAATATGTTACAAATCTCAACCAGGAACTTCCGACTTCTCCTTAACATTCTCAGTGAAATAATGAACAATGTAAATACCTAAGCAGGGTAAAGGGTTCCAGGAAGCGGACAATTCCAGCCTGAAGTGAAATGTACCACAGCCTCCTTTTGTTTTTACTTCAAAGGGCGATTAAAAGTAAGCGTAGTGAGGGGTCAATGGGCAAAGAGTTAAGGCATCTTTGTGCTGCACCTTGCTTCATAGAGAGAAGAATCTATAGAGGAGGCTGATGGTCTTTAAAGTGCTTACCCCTCACCTCACACAAAGGATGAGTACATTATATTGCCAGTGTGCCACGTTCCTAAAGAATTACTTCTCTTGATGACTGGTAAGTCCAGCACTTCCTTACACTAAAGTCACTGACGGAATCAAAGCTGAACATTGTAAATCTGATTCATTTACATCAGAATTGATTAAATAGTTTTTGAATTTTCCAGTTGATAGTATGTTTAAAAAGATAAAATTACAGCCCTAAATTTCTTGGCACAAACAGAGATCCAAAGTGAACAACCACTACCTTCAATTATGTAAAACAATGAAGTATTTAAGGACGTAGTTCATAAATACTCTGTTCATAAGCAGGTTAACCTACTGAACACAACAGCAGCTTTTGCCTCATCCGAGTTTACCCAGTTACTCAAATACAAGTTCCTATGAAGAAATAATTTGCTAGGCGCTAAGCATAGCAATACAGGATAAATTGAATTCCTTCAAATACATAATAGGCGTCTAAATCTACTCCTATTTTCCCCACAACTCTAAAAACAAGTGCCTATGAAATAAACTGCATTACTAGGAAGCTTCCCCCAGAAAGAGAGAATGAGAACAAGCTTCAATATTACAGTCTTGTTTTCATATACTTACCATGCCAATAGCTCCCTTCAGCTTTATTTACATTTTTCCTCAGCAACCTCCCAGGTCAGAGAGTCCAACCACAACAGGCAGGGGTTGGTTGGGGAAATTCACAGGCATTTGCTTTCCAAACTGCCAGTGCAGATTCCACTCACCACAACCAGACAGAGCTGTTTCAAGATGCCCTCTCTATGACCCTGCTCTGCTGAAGGTCAAGTACACTATCACTCCCTGTAACTAAGGAAGCAAAATTGACATGTTCCTGCTGTTTTGCCAGCTGCTGAAGCAGTTTGTCTAATAATATGATTAATTGCTTTTAGGGAAGATGTACTTTGCTTTACAAAGTTCTCTCTTCACCTAGATTGCTGCTTTTGCTAAATGCACTCTCTTTCCTCTTAAAGACCACCTTTCCTGAGCTGAGAGCTCGCAAGAATGTTACCATGGAGTCCATCCAACTCAAAACAGTTTTAAGACTATAAGGCGTGGAGGGAAGATTTGGAGAACTCAGAAATACATTCTGCACGCAGCATTTCCAACTTTACAGCACCGTAAGCTAATATGTTTAAAGATATGGGGTCTTTGTAAGTTCCTCTTTCACTTAAAGGGAAGGCAATGGGGCCGGCCCCACAGCTGAGTGGTTCAGTTTGTGCGGCCACTTCGGTGGCCCAGGGTTTTGCCGGTTCAGATCCTGGGCACAGACGTGGCACCGCTCATCACGCCATGCTGAGGCGGCATCCCACATGCCATAACTAGAAGGACCCACAACTAAAAATATACAACTATGTACCAGGGGGCTTTGGGGAGAAAAAGGAAAAATAAAATCTTTAAAAGAAAGGCAACAACATAAGACATACAAAAACACCCACAAGAATAACAAGAATAACAGCATTGAACTCATTTAACAGACATTTTACTATACCTAGCCAACACGTGCCAGGCACGTGAATACAGGTCAGAGTTCTACCCTCTGCAACCTCCCATTCCGGCGGGAAGATGAGCATACGTCATCAGTGCAAATGAGGGTGCTATAACAGGCCAGTGAATGATTCAAGTCTAAGCCTCACCCCTCCCACAAGGCCACAGAGCTCGTGAGGTACAGTGAGTCAGAGGTGGGGCTGGAACTAATACCCAGATTCTCTGGCTGCAAGACAAGAGCACCTGCCACTAAGCCAAGCTGTAGCCTCCTGTTTGTCATGGAGACTCACTACCTGTTTTAATGACTCGACAACTAATATGAAACAAATGCTGGCCAATCACCAAAAACAAAACAAATGGAAGCCTGGGGGAAGCAAGAAAGAAGTTTTATGGATATATACTTTTACATAGGCTGGAGGGGGATTGACAGAGGAAGGAAATTTAAAAAAATAAGTTTATACTTATAAATGATGAACTTCCACTCCACAAATTTGTATGTGTACTAACCTAAAACAACCTAAGTGAAAGGACTATGTCATCCATTTTTCAGAATCTAGCACAAATCTAGGCACCTCAACCCAAAAGGGAAAAATTAATCAAGGGAAAAAAATCAGATGATTCTCCTTTTTCAAAAGGGAGACCAAAAGTCTCTCCACCTCAAAAACTATTTAAAGTTCTAAGAAACATAACACTCCATTGACTAAGTACAGCCAATAAATGACATGTAAAAGGAAAGATTAATGCAAGGAAGCAAAAAGCTCCAAGGCCCAACTATGGAGGTCAACAGGTCTGCTCCTCTCATCATAAAAATTTGTTCATGCCTTCTGACCTGGTAATTCTACTTCTGGGAATCCACCTTACACAAATTATCCTAAAACAGAAATGGCTTTATCAGTGCCTGGTCCTAAATTTTTTCTAGGGAATATAGGAATTTCCTCTCTCAGGGGGTCCAGATGAGGCAGAGCCCACCTCCAACTATAGAACCAGAAAATGCCAGATACTTGCAGGCCTGGCCTCCCTTGGAGGAGGGCAAGAGGTCAATCAGATGCATCAGCCTGAGACTTTGCACTGGCAGGAGGAGCTCCATGTCTGGCCCTGGTGGTGGTGTGTCAAGCAACAATAGCTTCACCAGACCAGCTCTTCACTCAGATCTGCGTATAGTTCCTAGCTGCAAAACTACTTCTCCAGCCCTCCTCGTAACTCTGTCAAGTTATCCATCCATCATTCCTCACTTATATTTTAATTCAATTAAAAAAAAAATCCCATTTCTGTTTAAATCAGCAACAGTTGGTTTCTGTTATTTACTATTAGGTCCCTAGGCTGGTAAAGCATGGATAAATTTATCAGTGTTAATTTATAATAGAGAAAGGTCAGAAGCAACTTAAATGTCCCAAACTAGGAGGTGGGTTAGTAAATTATACAATACTCCCTTGATACAAAACTATGTAGCTATGAAAAATGATGGTCAGGCAGGCGATGTAGCAACCTGTGGAGGATAATGACATTTATTCTGTGAAATTAACATTCTGTGAAATCACAAGACACACAGTATGCACACTGTGATTCCAACTGGATGACATGCATGTGAAAAAGACCAAAAAACAATAGGTTTATTCATTCAATAAAGAAATCTTAATATTGTGTGCTTACTATGTTCCAGGCACTGCGTTTTACACACTGGGAAGACAACAGCAAATGAAACAAAGTTCTAGCCTTTCTGGAATTTATATTCTATGTGAGAAATAAAAAAATATATGTTAGTTAGTGATAAGCAGAAAGAGAAGAGAAACAAGAGGAAGGAGGATAAAGAATGACAGAGGTAGAGATGGAAATGGTTATTTGATAGAGGGAAGTGAAAAAGTAACAAAATGATAGTGATAGATAGGAAGAATGGTCAAAATATAGTTTTCTTATCCTTTTCAAATTTTCCAGAATCACTTTTATAGCCACTTTTAAAAAAGTTTCCAAAACAAAGTTATCTTTTAAAACCAGCAAATATTGCTAAACTTGGTATTATGAATGATCTTATTTTCCACCCCACGTCTGAAGTAATGATGTTCTTCGTACTTCTTTTCCTCATTTTTATTATTATTTTTAAAATTTATTTTAAAAAATCGGCACCCGAGCTAACCACAGTTGCTAATCTTTTTTTTTTTCCTGCTTTTTCTCCCTAAATCTCCCCAGTACATAGTTGTATATTTTAGTTGTGGGTCCTTCTAGTTGTGGCATGTGGGACACCGCCTCAATGTGGCTTGACGAGCAGTGCTATGTCCGCCCCCAGGATCCGAACCAGCGAAACCATGGGCTGCCGAAGCAGAGTGCACGAACCTAACCACTCAGACACGGGGCCAGCCCCTTTTCCCCGTTTTTAAAAGAAAAGCTCCTCTTCTACCCATCTAAGAAAGAACAAGGAAATCTATTTTTTTAATAAGATGAGATATAAAACTCTACTGTGAAAAATAATTCTCAGTCTCCTTCCCATTTAAAGAATTGCTGCTGACGATATTTTAAAACTAGGCTATGTTTCTGCAACTACAATCCAAACTGAATCATCCTGGTAGGAAGCTAGTTACGTGGAAACACATTACACTTAGACAGAGAACACCAGCTCCTGTTTCAGTGGATCAGGACAAGTCCTTTATTTGTTCTAAGCCTCTGTTTACTCAATTGTAAAACTGAGATTAATACCTCTCTCCTTACAGGACACTGGAAAGATTAAATGAGGCAATAAATATAAAGTGCAATGTATTATATAAAATACTTAATTTTCTCCCTTTTTGGGTAGAAAAAATGGTTCCATTTCTAATCCTCTATTTCCTGTGACCAATAAAAGGATATGGTCTCCAAAATGTTTTTAAAGTAGCAGACACTAAAGGTATACACTTCAAATGGAGTGAGATTTTAAGAAACATGTTTTTTGTGATAGATCGTCACTATTCTGTCCCAAGACACACCAGAGTAAATTATTTTGACACAATCTTTACATGTAAGTTATATCTTTTATAAGGACATCATACTTCCTCATTTCCCCCATTTTGACAATTCCTCTTGTCAACTTTTTTTCTCCTACCATATTATAAGTAAGTATAGTCTTACTTTTCTAACACGAATTTTATCCCAGGTCCACTGTCCTATATTTCATCTACAAAATAGCTTCATCTTCTTACTCCTCTTAAGTCACAGCTCATTTAAGTATGTGCAACCATCTGATTTCTCCAGTATATCTTCTATGATGGCTGTGCCTGAGCACATTTACATGAAGTAAACTGCTTTCCATTTCTCCTGAATATAGTTATTGTACAATATTGATTTTTTGAAGTTATTTGTGTATGAATGGTAATATTTCCTATGAATATTTTTTGTACAGTAAAAGAGCCAATAAAAAATATTGCAATAAAAAGGGGACACTGGGTTTGAAGGAACTGAAAACCCCTAGAAAGAAAGGTTACACAGTACATATTCAATGAATGCTTGCTAAATTAATAACTGAGCTAATCACTGGCCCAGTTAAATTCATGCACATAAGGCTATGTGATTGCTAAAAAATTAAGACAACAACAACAACAAAACTTTGGAAGATAAAACTTGACCCAGATAGCTTTTGATTCAGCAATTCTACTTTTCCATCAAAGCTCCACTGGCAGCGTCCCAGACACAAAACAGAGGAAGATGGGCATAGATGTTAGCTCAGGGCCACTCTTCTTCAAGCAAAAAGAGGAAGATTGGCAACAGGTGTTAGTTCAGAGCCAATCTTCCTCACCAAAAAAAAAAAAAAAAAAAAAGGAAGAAGAAGAAAGGCTCATAGCAAACATCATAACTAATAATGAATTGAAAGCAAGGCAATGCTGCCTGCTATCACTACTTCTATTCTACATTGTACTGGAGATCCTAGCCAGGATAGTAAGGCAAGACAAACACATAAGAATTGGGAAGAAAAAATAAAAAGCCAAATGACTATGTAGTGGAATTATTAAAATTAATAAGAGAAAGATTACTGGGTTAAAAAAATCTATAAACAAAATCACTTGCATTTCTATATACCAGCAAGAGTTGGAAAATAAAATTTTAATATGACGTTTACAAATAGCATCATAGAACACAAAATATTAGAAAGCAAATCAAAGATACACTATACCTTTGTGGAAAAAATTAAAGAAAACCTAAATAAATGGAAAGACTTGCCATGTTCATGGATTGGAAGACTCAGTATCATCAAGATGTCAATTCTCTCTAAACTGATTCATTAAGTAAATGCATTCCAATTTTAAAAAGCCAACAGGTTTTTGTTTCTATATGTATAGAACCTAGTAAGTTAATTTAAAGATTTATATTGCAGATCAAAGGGCCAAGGATATGTACAACTTTCTTAAAGACAAAGAATAAAGTGAGTGAAACTTGACCCTTATTATAAAACCTTATATGATACTTCAACATCAATTCCAGGAGGCCCAAAAGCCTAAATCTAAAAGGCAAAACTCAAACTTCAGTAGACAATTTAACAATTGTGACCATGGGGTAGGGATGAATTTCTTAAAGAAGATATACACAGTGTAAACCACAAAGGACTGATGAAAATAAAATATCATAAAGAGAATGAAAAGATAAGCCATAAACTCAGAGTATTTTCGCAAAGCAAATAAGCAACAAAGGATTAACATCACACATATATAAAGAACTCTTACAAATTAATGAGAAAAGACAAACCAAAACAAAAACAGGTTTAAGAACAGAATTTCATTAATGAGGAGCTCATAA